GGCTGACTGCAGGAAGCCGGAGGCAGAGTTGCTCTGCCCCCAGCTTCCTGGAATCAGCCTGATCAGTTTCAACAGCTGCTGAATCTGGAGCCTGGGACAGAACAGCTGGGGCGCTGCCCGGTAGGTTCCCACAGGACCAACCCGGCAGCACCCCAGCTGCTCTACCCGAGGCGTCCCGCAACAAAAGCCTGGTCTGCTGGGGAGGGGGGCGCACTAGCTGCGCCCCCTTCCCCCCCCCCAGCAGACCAGGGAGATCTGAGCAAAGCCGCACAGGCGGAGGAACCCCGCCGCCCGTGTGGCTTTGCGCCTTTGCTCCCGAGCAAAGCCGCACAGGCGGCAGGATGCCGCCTGTGTGGCTTTGCTCCTGTCGCCCTGGACCCCCCTCTCCCCCCAACAGACCAGGGACACCCGAGCAAAGCCCCGTTCGTAAGTGCGGATCTGACGTAAGTTGGATCCGCGTAAGTCAGGGACTGCCTGTATAGACATAGCCTGGCAGAAGTTGGGTTTTTCCCTGGACAGCTGTACTCTGAAGACCAGATGGGCTATTTAAAGTCAAAGTTTCTTTCTCTTTCTTATACTGTTTAAAACTCCTTGGCAAACTCTCCCCCTATTTGCCCAAGTGACTTCTTGGCCAACCAGCACAATATTTTTAAACTCCAAAATATTAACTAAATTCCATAACATTTACTTTTTTATGGATGAATTCCCAACCCCATTAGTTAGTATATTCTGAATCATAACAATTTGTAACTAAAAGAGCAGCCCCACACATAAATTTAAAATCAGTACAGCTGAATGATACATTGATACAAAGTAATATACACAATTACATACAGAAAAAGGTGTATATTTACTTTTTTAAAAAACAGAATTGCTTAGTTCCAAGTGTGGTCCTTCTCTCCGCTTTTGATCCCTTTACATTTTCTAACCTCCGACCCCAGCATTCTCCCTATTCCATTTATTCTGACTGAGCATTCCCCACAAACATACTCTCAGTTCAGAAACTATGGCTCAGGCCTACAGTCTTTATTCAAGTGAGTGGTCATTTGCCACCAATGACACGGCTTACATGACTCAGAGCCCAAGGACCATATTTCAGAGTTCTTATCAAAAGGGGAGTGAGAAGCAAGGTAGTTAAGAACAAATAACTTCCCATCTCTGAAAGTAAGAATGAAAAATTCAAAACAAACAGAAGCCTGAGTCCCAAGATAATGTCTGTGCAGATACTAGTACAGCCATATGCCTCATAATTTTCAAATTTGGCAGCTTTTCCCTTAGTTGTTGTTTAGCTACTCACCCTGCCAGAATTTCAGTACACACAGGAAAAGCATTGTGCTACACATGCCCTACAGATACAGCATATTTACAGTCCTATTTGCTTCAAATGGGAAGGGTTAGCACAGGGGACTCCATATAATTTATGTGCTATAGGTGCATGTAGTAATCCTGATACAAAGTAGGGAGAAGGCATGGAGCAGTGCAGGCATACCAGCAGTTCAGGGTTATCTGCAGCCTTACCTGCAACAGATAGGGATACCACAGTGGTCCCAGAGTCACCAGTCTGGGGAGCTCTTTATGGGGGAGACATTGGGATCTATAATGTTGATCTAGTGCTCCGAAACCCCACTACTGGGATGAAGACCTCCAAGGAAAGGCTGCATTAAGAACCTGCTCATGCACTCACAGAGAAGAGGGAGAAAATAAATCTCTCCCCTCTGTGGAAGTCTCTGCACAAACACCAATGACTGGGTTTTGTGTGGGGAAAGCTTCATTCCAAACTTAAATAACAGTTTCAGCTTTGAAACTGCTGAATTTCTAGAACTAAAATTGTGAAAGGGAAACAAATATTCTTGTTTATTCCTTGCACCGATTAAGTCAGACTGAACAGTTAATAGATTCACAGACACGAGGATAAGAAGGGATCACTGGGATCATGTAGTCTGAGCTCCTATATAACACAGGTCATAGAACTTCCCCAAAATTGTTCCTAGAAGTCAAGAAATATTTTTAAAAGCCATTTAATCTTGATTTTAAAATGGTCAGTGATGGTGAATCCATCATGATCCTGGGTAAATTGTTCCAGAGGTTAAACATACACACCATATTTCTGGTCTCAGTTTGTCTTGCTTCAACTTCCATCCTTATGACCCTGTTATACCTTTGCCTGCTTGACTCAAAACCATTATGCACTCTTCCCTGTGTAGTACTTAGAGACTGTACTCAAGCCACTCCTTAACCTTCTCTTTGTTAAGATACATTAATTAAGCTATTATTTATTCTAAGGCATATTTAATCATTTCTATGGTTCTTCCAAATAGAGAAGCAAAATAACCTCTCTACCCCTAAATACATGCACATTAACTACTATCCCCCCATGAAGATCTATCCCTCAACATTAAGTTAGTTCAAAGTTAAATTAACCTAATTAAAAGATACACTAAAAAGATAAGGACAAGGAAAGTGTTGTGTCGAAAAACCCTATAAAATATTGTTTACTGTGGGTTTGTCTGGATTTAGTTTGTAGTAGGGATGTGAATGTTTACCCAGTTAAATGGTTAACTGAACATGTGAGGCTAACCAGTTAAGGTTAACCAATCTGGGCGAGAGCAGCCTTCACTCTTCATTTTTCTCCTTCTGGTCAAAACAAAATTGTGGCCTGTTGTTCTGACTTCTCCTTGTGGGTGTCTAGCCATCACTTTAAGTTTCACCATACAAAAGAAGAACTTCAAAGCCGCTCTCTTCTAAGTCCCTGTACGTACCACCATCATCCTCCCTGTCACTCACTCTCGTAAACCTTATCTTTGATCGAGTTCTCTAGATCTTTCCATCCAGGCAGTTTTTAAATCTTGCTGCTGCTGCTTAGATAATATCTTTAATATCCGTCCTTTCCTCTTCATCCACACTATTAAAGCTCTTATCCATGACCTCATCATTTCAAGTTTCCAATATTTCAAATTCCATTCTCTGACACATCTTGCCCTTCTTATATCCAAACAAAAACCTGCTGCAAAGGACATTTCCCTAGCTCATCATTTCAATCATGTCATCATTCCTTTTCATCCCCATTCACTGTATCACTTGCCAGTTTTAGCTATCACCTCCCATACACCACTGCCAGGTTGTCTCTTGCCTGTGCTTTGCTAATGATGCCAGTTTCTATCGCTCATTTGTAAATTTTCCAACAAGTAGCTTCTCACTGTTTCCCATGGAACTTCCTATAAACAGCTGGCAAAACCTCTCTAATTGCCCTCAAACCCCTCCTTAAAGTTATTCTCTGCCATGATGACTACAAAAATCTCAATAATAGTTAAGCATCTGGGATGCTGTGACCACTGTCTATCATGCTAACTAGCATCATCTCATTCTCATACTGTTTTGCTCCACAGTGTTTTATTCATCTTAGATTCCAAAAACCAGATTCTTAAATATATCTACATGTCTAGCTTCCAAAGGTCTTAGATGCTTAAATACCTATAAAAATCTGGCCCTAAATTCTTTGGGGCATGGATTGAATTTTTGTGAGGTAGCTATACAATGCTGAGCACATTAAGGTCCTGATGCATGACTGTGGCACCAAAGCACTACTGAAATACAAATTGTTAACACCACCAGCAGCTCTACCACCACTATGCTCTTCAGCACAAGTATTTCCTAGTGAGAATGGATTATATATTTTATTGACAGACTCTGCTTTCTGGGAATTCCTTGTATAATCACCCATGAGTATTCTGAACTCTTACTCCAGCAAGTTAGTCTCCTTCAGTTCTGATGATATGGCCATCATTGGACAGTAAAACCAATACCTGGTTTTCATTATTCCCATTTGGGCTAGAACGCTTTTAATTACCATATAGATAAAAGTAAACATACTAATTTGGCTCTGGCTTGTCTCCTGCCCGCTGGGATGCAGCGTACCTAGATCTATACTTAAGAAGCTGTGTGTCAGATGATTACCTTTTCAATACTGCAGCTGCTCTGCTGAATCTGAACTAAGGGTTGGCTCAATACTCCTTAAAAGCTGTCAAACGTAAGTCAAGCCTTGTCCACTTAATCCAGTAATGCATGTCTGCTTCAGAACATCTGATAGAGAGTTAATTACATGTAGAAACTGTAAGAGGTATCATAAAAACTGATGCCAACATTTTCTGAAACAGCCTTCAATTTTGGGAGCCTGAGGCATGCATACCCTTCTTTTCAAAGGTGCATAGCTCCAACAACTCCTACTAATTGCAACTGAAGAATGTATACTCTGCATCTCTGAAAATCAGGTCAAAGATGTTCCATATTTGGCACACAAAACAAGAGGCCACGTATACAAATTTTGGCCTGGATGGATGGTCAGATTCGAGAACTAACCACACTCAGTCAGTGAATAATGGAGGTAGAAATATGCACGCTAAATTTATAACACAGAAGAAATGTATTTTAATGACATATTTAAAACAAGCAAATAAGCACATCTAGTAAAATATAATTAACAATATTAGCACATATAAAGCTTCAAAATACTATAAAATGTTAACTAACTCATACAAAGGCTCAGGATGGATAAAAAATACTTACTTGTTTTAAAGATAGAGAAATGAAATGAATAAAAAATACTTACTTGTTTTAAAGATAGAGAAAACAGACTCAGGTATTAAGTTAACTCTTGTCACTTCCTATATTCATAATCATGACATTTTTTTCCAGTACTATGCTCTGAAGCACATAAATTCATATTTCAGAAGATAAAATTATTTGTCGTAATGAGACTAGAGTATCAACATTAAAATGCTAGTTTAATCATTAAGGGTGAAATTTTCGTTAGTACAGAGGGTTGGCCTGACTCTGCTCCCATTAAAGTCAGTGGGAGTTTTATCACTGAGAGTAATGACAGCAGAGTTAAGCCAATGCTAGACACTTTTGAAAATTCTATCCTAAACTGTTATTTGTTTTATTCTAAAAGGAATAATGAATAGAACAATGAAACTATAAATATAATACATATGTATACACACCTTGCATTTGGTAGCTATATGGTGCCTGTCCTGGCTGTGGAGTGCTAAAGCTTGTCCCATAGCTAAGAAATCCTGTCTGTCCAGGTGACTGTGATTGTGACAATCCACCTTCTGTCTTGATGCCTGCCCACAATGCACCTAAATCAGTTAGTGATAGCAAATCTATTTGTTCATATTCAAACACTGACAGAAAATAAATTCACATAATTAGCAGTACTTTAAACATACACCTGCTTAGTAATCACTGCATGCATTTTTGTAATGGTGCTAGCACTATGTGCAGTGGAGGTAAGGAAGAGAAGCTGCAGGTTAATGTCAATTCACCAGTGAAGTTTCAGCTCAAAACTGTGGTATTTAAAAATAAAAAATTGCAAGAGAAATGAATATATGGCAAGTTGCCCTTTATAGAAAGTTGCATATATTTTTATTCATTTCCTGCCAACTCAGTCAGAAGCTAACATTTCCATAAGTTCATGAATTTCATACATGGCAGAACACCAATTTCATATAGTTTCAATGAAGTGTAACATAACACACTTTTTCATTACATAACAATTGAGATTTGCATTCTGTAATATTTATGGCTAAAGGATTAAACAGACCTACATTTAACTACACAGCTCCAAAGAGGCTTTTACAGTATTTTAAAAAGAAAAACTTTTTAAATTTTTAAGTTATTAAATTAGGCCTGTTAGCACATAATATGCCTTTTCAAAATTGATGTGTACTGTAAAACATACACTCTTTTAACCAATAGACCAAAATAGACACACAGGATGCTAAATATGCCTGAGAAAGGAACTCTCAGACAGGGAAGATACAGCAAAGCTTCATTAATCTGCACTAATGACAGGAAAAATCTTTTAAAATTATGCTATAACAATATTCAGGCTGATCCAACATCTAGTGAAATGTAAAGACTTGCACTGACTTCATCAGGCTTTGGATCAGGACCGAAATGTATGAGCAATAGATATGAGGAATAGACATCACAAAAAAAATCACATTATCTGGACAGCATAGTTTAATTGTAGCTAATAGCGGTATTTCACAATGCATAGTTTACAAAAATAATAGTCTTAGAAACATAGTAATAATATGAGTAATGTAAGACTAGACTCCGATCTTATTGCAGCTGTCTGTGATTACCTCTTTGCTCAGAGGCCACCACTATTTGGGGTGAATTATAAAGTGTGGATGAGTAATACTCATTTGTAAATGACAAACTATAAATCCATTTACCTTTTGGGTCAAGTCTTAAAAACTCAAGTCCTATGATGTGTAAAGGGGAGAGGTGCCAAAAGTCATTACACTTATACAATATGCAGTTATGTCCTACATGCATGACTGCATTTTTTTCATGTGCTCCTGAGACACCCATTTTGAAGTTATGACCCTTCATTTTTTTTATAATTCCTTCTGCATAACTGCCAAAGTAATTTGTGTTTAAATAAGGGTTGTTTCCCCTCGCTTTTCCCTTTCCGCTTCTATTTCACCCTGCAATTAAATTTTAATGATGAATCTGACATATGGTCCCACTGTGGAACTTCCACTTTATAGTGCTGGTATCAATAATTCCCAGGGACATTACCACATCTTTTATAATTCAACAGATCATAGAAATGCTTATTTGATTTTTTTAATTAGTTTAAATTGAGATCAACTTTAGAAATTTTAGCCCTTGCTTCAATCCCAGTCTCTGAAGGGAGCATTTCTCCTAGTTCATGTCCCTTCCAACATAGTGCAGAAAAGGGACTTTGACAGACAGAAGACGGTAGATAATGTGCCACTGATAGCTTCCAGTTCTGGCCCTTTTGCAGACTCTTACGGAGTAGGAAGAGAAAACTTTTCCCTCGTGACTCCCAAAAACTCCCTGCATGCTTTCTTTCAGTGTTTTCACTGACCAGCTCTTCTTCTCTTTTCACTAGTCTAGACATGCAAGGAAATATAAGAAGGTGTTGTTGTGAAGGTACTATCAGGATCAAGGGGGAGAAGAAACTGGTGAACATACCACTATGGGAACACACAGGCAGACAGCAGTAGAGTGATTCAGGAAATGAAAAGCTACACTTCTCCAGTCTCCTCAGTAGCTCTGCAAATATACCAAAGGCAGCAGCTCCCTTGGAACCACTTGTCAGTGGTATTTCCTTCCACTCCACTTCCTGCTTCCATGATTTCAGCATGATGGAGATGTAAAAGGTGAGAAAGAGATAGACTGGACCTTTTCCTGGCAGATATTTAAATAGTGCTGTGAGTGGTGCTCCCTCTGCCTTCAGAGCAGCACCTTCCCCACAACTGCCTTAATTGGGAAATTGAGAAAGTGCTGGGATTTTAATTTTCCATCTCAATTAAAGGTGACATAAAAATTAATAAATATCATCTGGGATTTTTGATGATGTGGTCTTTCAAATTTTGAAAAAGTGCATCTTCAGTAAGTCCCATGTCAGGTTTAAACTATAAACTTACATCAATGTAAATACATCGCTCAGGAGCATGAGAAATCCCTGAGGACTTCTCCCCTTGCTGGAGCTACTGCCTCCCATGGAGGTAGATTAACTACACTCATTGGCACAGTAGCAGCTTTACAAAATGATGCCACATATAGATTTGGGAGGAGAATGTTGTCTTTAATAAGACTCAAGTTCTGCTTGCTTTGTGCACATAGCAGTTCCATTATCTGCAGTGTGATCTATCATGTGAACACCGACTGCACAACTGGGGCTTAAAGATGTACTTAAATGTATCTATACATGAGTAAATACCCTTATGTCAACTCCCACACTATGGCTATGTCTAGACTGCAGAGTTTTATTGGAAAAAGATACGCAAATTGTGAATCGCAATTTGCGTATCTTTTTCTGCTATTTTTTCCCCCTGGAAGAAACTTTTCTGAAATTTGGCCCATCTACATGGGGACAAATTTCAGAAAAACCTTCTGTTTTGGAACATCTCTTATTCCTCTCACCAAGAGGAATACACAGATGCTGAAAGAACGCACTCACTTTTTCAGAAACGTTTCCAAAAAAGCAGACACGTTCCCTGGACACGGTAGAGCTTTTCCGGGATACCAGAGGTATCCCAGAAAAGCTTTGCAGCCTAGACACAGCCTATGTTTGTTTCTTAATAATAGTGTCAAACTACAAGGTAAGAGACACTTTGTTGAACACTGAGATGGACATGTAGGAAAATAAAAAAATGCAATAAGACCTATGGCTTAGTCAGTTTTTCAGTTTTTAAAAGAAGTGGTTGGCTGGGGCAGGGGAAAAAAAGCAGCAAGAGGCTAGATAGGCATGGTAGCCAAACCAGCTAGCAGCAGCCAAACTGAGCAACTCACACACAGAGCACTGGTAACAGGAAGGCAATTAAACTGAGAAGGTGAAATTCAAGGCCCATTGAAGTCATTGCAAGTTGTACCACTGACTTTAATGAGACTAGGATTTCACACAGAAAGACCAAGGGAACCAAATAAACAATCATCTGGGCTGCCCAACCCACCACAAATAACCAAGGACCAATAGAGAAACAAGAGAAACATACCATTACAAAATGTAATCAGAAAAATATATTATCACTGAAAATATATCTTAAATATCCAAAGTTTTTAGATGTTTAAAATATATAGAAGAGAGTTGAAGTACATGAACTATGTTTCTAGCTATTTATTTTGTAATATATATCAACATATGCAATACTTATAGAAACAATGTGAAAAATGTAATTGGATTATATATCATCATAACATCAGCATTTCAAAGCCTTAATGGCATTTAATTCAAATTCCAAAATTACTCAAATTAGACTTCTTGGGTCAGATCCTCAGCAGATATAAGTCAGAAGACCTTGATCAGGTTCACCGAAACTACCCTAATTTATACCAATTTAGCATAAATCCCAATATTTCCCATTTGCCCTGGTATACACTTGGATTGCACAATTCTGACTGACATCAAGGGTATGTCTAGACTACAAGCCTCTTTCAAAAGAATCTTTCAAAAAAACCTCTTCCGAAAGAGAGCGTCTAGACTGCAACCTCTTCTTTCGAAAAAGTGAGCCGCTTTTTCGAAAAAGAGCACCTAGGCAGTCTGGATGTTCTCTTTTGAAAAAGCCCTGTTTGCATTCCAGAACACCTTTTTTCAAAAGAACACTTTCGAAAAAAGGCGTTCTTCTTCGTGAAAGAGGAGTACCGCCATCGAAAGAAAAGCCACGGTCTTTCGATTTAATTTTGAAAGAATGCGGCTGTAGTCTAGATGGAGGTGAAGTTTTTTCGAAAAAAGGCTACTTTTTTAAAAAAAAACCTGCAGTCTAGACACAGCCTAAGAGGAGTAAGAGAAGGCAGTACTAGCTCCTTAAATTTTACATTTCCCCTTTGTCCGTTTCTAAAACCTTTAACCTATCTGTTTCCATGGTTTCAATTAAAGGCAGCATTAAAAAATAGAAATAAAAGATAAAAGCAAGTATTCCTTGGGAGATTATGAGAGTTGATGTGGATTTATCTGAGTCACATTTGTCATGTACATTCTTAATTAGACTCCAGTAAGTACATATACTAAGTTTTCCCCACAGCAAAAGGGAATGCAATGTACATTTTTTACTACAAACACGTGCATGAACAGTTGTCATATTAAATAGAGGAAAAACCCATTCTAAAGCTCATACAACCCTCTGGGTAAAAATGTTTACCTGAGAATTAATTAATATGGATACAGACTCTTACTCACCATAGGAAGGAATTCCATAGGGCTGGCCTGGCTGTGGGTATGTGGCATAAGCTGTAGCTTGCTGCATCCCTGTCGTAAACTGCGTCTGCCCATATGCAGCCATAGTTTGTGAGGAAGGGGTGGGGAGAATATGTGGGTATGGTCTGCTATTGATTACAAATGACAGAAAATACCATTTGTATTAGACATACAGATATTTGTCTTAATTGACAGTCTTATTATATACACATGGTCATCGACTGCAGGGGAGAACAGAAGCTCTTAAATAATCTTTAAAATACAAATTTAGCTAAAATAAAATCATGCACTTTGTCATGAATAAGCTTTCAGTTAAACTAAGACTGAGCAGAATAATCCAATCCTGATTCTAAATTAGGTTGCAATCTGCTTATTTATTTCAATTATCATTATTTAAATAAGAACACTTACTTGGAAGGATAAATCTGTGGCGGGGAGAACTGATGAGTTTGTCTTGGGCTGAAGCCACTGCTTCCAATTGCTGCCCAAGGAGAAAGGAAAGCACATCCAAATGTAAACCCACATATCTAAACTAAGTTTTAGTTTTTTGCTAGAGGAATGTCAGAATTTTAACTTGGTTTTAATTAAGTCCAAATATCTTCAATATTCTTACTTGGAAAGTAATGTTTCAATAGGGACAGGTACAAGTATAAGAATGCTCAATATTAAAAATTAAATTATTGAGTAAATTGCCCCTCTTTGTACAACTCCAGAGCAATAATTTATTGTTGCTTGCAGGCAGACAGCACTTTGATGGGAAGCAAATTATTCTCAAATAATTAAATGGAAAATATTTCCTTTCATATTTTCAAAGGTTTTTGATATTTCAGCACAATATTTTATTAATGTTTGGAATATCATAGACTCATAGAAATGTAGGTCTGGAAGAGATTTCAAGAGGTCATTTAATCCAGCCCTCTGTACTAAGGCAGGACCAAGTAAACCTAGACCAGTGGTTTTCAATCAGGGCTATATGTACTCCTAGGAGTATGCAGAGGTCTTCCAGGGGTTACACAACTCTCCTAGGTATCTGCCTAGTTTCAGAACAGGCTACATAAAACACACTAGTGAAATCAGTACAAACAATAATTTCATCCAATGAAAGGTTTATATTGCTCTATATACTATCCACTGAAAAGGTAAGTATATACTTATATTCTGATTTATTTTATAATTATAGAATCAAACAGAGAAAGTAGGCAATTTTTCAGTAATATATACCAAAATACAGAAGCATCATAGTACACTGATTTTGCAAGCAAGTAGTTTTTAATTGAGGTCAAACTTAGGGTAGACAAAACAAATCAAATCAAATCATGACAAATCAGATTCCTGAAAGGAGTAAAGCAGTCTGGAAAGGATGAGAACCACTTACCTATAGGGTTTCCAGATGGTTTAACCAAAAATACCGACAATTCCCTCCTCCTCCCCCCCCCAAAAAAACCCACTGGGTGGAAAAAATTCTGTTGAGGGGGAAAAAGGGGGGAAGGGGACCAAAGTTGTTGAACAAAATAAATAAATACCGTATTTTCCGGCGTATAAGACGACTTTTTATGCTAAAACACATCCCCCAAAAATCGGGGGTCGTCTTATACGCCGGGGCTTTTCCTGCCCCGGAGGACACAGACTGCGGGACCTCACGGTCCTGCCGCCCGTGTACTCCGGGGCGAGAAAAGCTGCTCCGCGTCTCCCTGGTCTGCAGCTTTGCTCCTCCGCCTCCCCGGCTTTGCTCCCGGTGCCTCTGGTCTGCTGGGGACCGTCTCCAGCAGACCAGGGACACCAGGAGCAAAGCCTCTGAGGACGCCCGCAGCGGGGCACGCCTCTGAGGCTTTGTTAACATCTTTCTTGAAGTGTGGTGCCCAGAATAGGCACAGTACCCACCTTACGCCTCATGAGTGTCAAGTAGAATGGAACAATTACTGCCCGGGTCTTACATACAACACTCCTGTTATTACACCCCAGATTGATTTAGTCTTTTTCACAACTGTATCACATTGCTTGACTCTCATTCGTTTTGTGATCTACTGTATTCCCTAGATCCTTTTAGCAGTACTACCAAATTATTCACTATTTTGTAGGTGTACATCTGATTTTTCCTTCCTTGGTTTAAAACTCCGCACTTAGAATCATAGAATAATAGGGCTAGAAGAGATCCCAAGGGGTCATCGAGTCCAACCCCCTGTCCAAAGCAGGACCAATCCCAACTAAATCATCCCAGCCAAGGCTTTGTCAAGCAGGGATGTAAAAATCTCTAGGGCTGGAGGTTCCATCACATCCCTTGGTAATCCATTTCAGTACTTCACAACCCTCCTAGTGAAATAGTATTTCCTAAATATCCAACCTACACCTCCCTCACTGTAACTTGAGACCACTGCTGCTTGTTCTGTTCTCAGTAGCGACAGATGGCAGCCTCTCTCCATCCTCTTTGGAACCTCCCTTCAGGAAGTTGAAGGCTGCTATCAAATCACCCTCACACTTCTCTTCTGCAGACTAAATAAGCCCACATCCCTCAGCCTCTTCTGGTAGGTCATGTGCTCCAGAGCCCTAATCATTTTGATTGCCCTCCACTGAACCCTCTCCAATGTGTCCACATCCTTTGTGTAGTGGGGGGCCAAGAATTGGACACAATATTCCAGATGTAACCTCACCAGTGCTGAATAAAGGGGAATAACTTCTTTAGATCTGTTGGAAATGCTCTTCATAATGCACCCGAATATGCCATTAGCCTTCTTGGCTACAAGGGCACACTGTTGACTCATATCCAGCTTCTCATTCACTGTAATCCCCAGGTCCTTTTCTGCCAAACTGCCCTCCAAACTGACTACTTAGCCAGTTAGTCCCCAGCCTGTAACAGTGCTTGGGATTCTTCCATCCCAAGTGCAGGGCTCTGCACTTGTCTTTGTTGAAACTCATCAGATTTCTTTTAACCCAATCCTCTAATCTGTGTAGGTAACTCTGGACCCTATCCCTGCCCTCCAAAGTATCTACCTTTCTCCCTAGCTTAATGTCATCCGCAAAGTTGCTGAGGGTGCAATCTATCCCCTCATACAGGTCATTAATGAAGATGTTGAACAAAACCGGCTCTAGAACTGATTCTTGGGGCACTCCACTTGAAACTGACCGCTAACCAGACATTGAGCCATTCATCACTACCCATTGGGACCGACAATCTAACCAGCTTTCTATCCACCTTACAGTCCATTTATCCATCCATATGTCCTTAAGTTGCTGGCAAGAATATTGTGGGAGACCGTATCAAGAGCTTTGCTAAAGTCAAGGTATATCACATCCACTGACTTCCCCATGTCCACATAGCCAGTTATCTCATCACAGAAGTTAATCAGATTGGTCAGGCATGACTTGCCAGTGGTGAATCCATGATAACTATTCCTGATCACTTCCCCCTCTTCCAAGTGCCCCCCTCTTCCCCCTCTTCAATTTCATCTTGTTGATTTTAGATCAATTCTCTAGATTGTAAATGTCATTTTGAATTCTAATTCTCTTCTGCTTGTGACCCCTCCTAGCTTGATATCAGCCACAAATTTTATGAACAGACTTTCCACTTCATTATCCAAGTAATAAATCCAAACGCTGAATAATACCATACCCAGGACAGACCCCTGTGGCACCCACTAAATACATGTTCTTAATTCAACAACAAACCACTCTTTGAATACGGTCTTTCATCCAGCTCTGTAACCATTTTATAGTAATTTCATGTAGACCACATATCATTACTTTGCTTATGACAATGTCATGTGATACTGTATCAAAAGTCTTACTACAATCGAAGATATATGACTTCTATAGTTTCCCCCTATTCTCTAGGTCAGTAACCCTAGCAATGAAGGAAATTAGTTGGTTTGGCATGATTTGTTCTTGACAAATCCATGTTAGTTATTATAACTTTATTATTGGGTGCTTATAAATTGATTGCTTAATAATCTGTTCCAGCATCTTTCCAGGTATCAAAGTTAGGATGACTGGACTATAATTTCCCTAGTCCTTTTTGTTCTCCTTTTTAAATATTGATATTTTTACTGTGTCCTTCTTCACTCCTCTCAGACTTCACATGTCCTCCATGAGTTCTCAAAGATAACCACGAATAGTCCTGAGAATACATCAGCTGATCCACAGAATAAATTTTGTCTGATCTTATTCACCTGACTATATCTATCTACTCTATAACCTTTTATTTCTCTGCTTTGACTTATGTTCCTCCCCTCCCCATTTCATGTTAATATTAATTGCGTCAAATACATGATCACAATTCATCTACTATTGAAGACCAAAGCAAAATAGGCATCAAACACCCGAGCCTCCTTGAAATCATCAATTATTAGCTCTCCACTTTCCCACTAAATAGAAGACCTTCACTTTCCTTTGTCTTTCTCCTGTTTTTAAAGTGTGTTGATATAAAACTTTTTCTTGCTACTTTTCATTTCCCTTATTATTTGTAACTTGTTTTGTGCCTTAGGCTTTTTGATTTCTTTTTTTTCTCCACCTTAGCAAACTGTTCATGTTTCCACTATCTTTATTCAAAGATCGGTACTTTATAAGAAAGTTTAAAGTATGTCTCCTGTTGAAAATATACAAGTAGCTCCTGGCCACCAAGCTTTGCTCCCCAGCTTTGGCTGCTGAGCTCTGAAGAAAGCATCCTCTCGGGTTACTATTTGGGTCCCATTTCTTCTCTATGTCCATGATATCTTTTGAGTCCCTCACTGGGAAGAAATCAATTTCAGGCTGAAACCTCCATAAAATATCTCACCCTGGGTTCAATCAACTAGAAAATTACATGCCTACTGTCAGGTATTTGGGATCAAATAAATCATACACAATGTACCACCTGATATAATTTCTGAGACAGTCAAGTTGGGCAGAATCTGATTTTGTCCTTATGAAGCATACAGATTTGTTTTCAGCACTACAGAACTATTTCTGAGTGACTGTTACCAAGAAAGTCAACATAAGAGGAACCAAGAAAAAAAAATCTTTATCTTATTTGTCTCAAGCCCAAAGAAAATACATTCCAGCCATATAATCTATGTGATGTACATTTATTACAAGACTGTAAATTTACAACCTAACAGGGTTCTCACACACTGTGCTTTCAAACAGCTGTGAAAAAATGGAGATATAAAATTAAGACTGTATTTTTCAGAGCAGTCAATCTATTAGTACCCAAATCTTCCAAGGACTGCTAAAGTTCATGTGATGGGCTCAACTGTTCCCTGCATCCAAGCTCTATTTTATACAGCAGAGGCTGTCGTTGAATTAGTTATATCTGCCCAATTTGGCGCAGATCCAACATCTGTATTGGCCAGGATCCTCTGGAAGTTATGCCTATATATCTTACACCACAGAGGATCAATACAACAAGACTCTGATCTCCTACATATCCCTCAAATGTATCCTACACTGAGAAGCACGAATCTGCAGGCTATTATAAAAGGTGCCTCTGATGGGTTTATACCAGTTGGCAGCTCCCCTCAATCAGGGAATGAGTTGCTAGCTAGTTACAGCCAGAATCCATCTGCTTTGCCTTGCATGGCTCAACGGGGATAGACTGTAATGTGCAACCAATTCCCAATCTTCTTCAGTTCAAAAATGTTACTTTAGAACTCTGAATGTGCTTGAAGTTATTATACGCAATTGTTGCCCATTCTTTAGCATATCAAGACACATCATCTGGTCAATTTTAGAAATTAATCTTTAAAGTTAAAATGAGTCTGCAATTACCATTATAATTACCATAGTTCTATCACATTGCTTTGCAACCATGCTTGCAAGTTATGAATTCAGAGGGAGGTCCAAATTCCACACAATAAAGACAGTAATATCGAATAACAGTGGCAGTTCACACATTTCAGATTAATGTGCAGCCTTTGCCCACCTTTTATAGACCTACTAGCGCAACAGGCAAATGTGAGTATCTGCACATTATAGGGAATAGCTAGAATTCAGGAAGCATCATAAAGATAAGCAAGAAGGGAGGATGGTTTTAGACTTTCATTCCATTTACAATGCAAACTAGAGCATGCAGATGTGGATCTAATATGCATCAGAAAACAAAACAAACCCTCCTCCCACCCATGACTTTGGGCCATAATAATGCCCAAATATTGAGTGCCACTCACAAGTTACTCATGGAGATCAATAATGATCTCACATCCCTTACTCAGGGACAACTCCTGTGAAGGCCAAATGGAATGAGCAAGCTACAGACTGTACAAACCTTTTATGTTTAACTGCACATAGGATTTAGACTGCGAGAGAGAAAAAATAGTAAGTGAAAAATGTCTTTATTTATGCCTTACCGGATCCTGAGAAATTGTCTAAAGACCCGTCTGCTGTAGTCGTAGCAATCTCACTGCTGCTCATTGGTTCTGTTTTAACTAGAAATATAAATAATACATATTCTAAGTGCTCCTAATATTCATGCACACATACACATGCACCCACATTATTCACAAAATATCACTAAAACACAACCTTCTAATAAATATTTGCTACCTGTATTTTTGTGTAAATATAAATACGCACACAAAAAGATCTGTTTCTGTCCCCAAGGAATAAGAGCAATTGTAACAAACAAAGATATCATCATGCATACATCAACCAATGAGTCCCCATGCAACTTTGTACAATCCTACTGTTGTTCTTAATTTTTTATAACCAACATATTTTAAGGTGTATATTGCCAATAATTCAGAGAGTCACTGTTTATAGGTTGCAGCAGTAAGTTTTCAGGAATGAGCTGAACGAGACAAAAATTGAAGCATTTTCTTCATGGGTTTCTTCCAAAGTTGTCTGAAAAGATTTTGTTCAAAATATTTTGATGGAAAGTTGGATTTCCAGCCAAACAATATTTTCCATGAAAATTATATGAGTTCAGCTGAATATTTCAATAATTTGAAGAATTAGATATCTGACAACTAACTGGTTTTTTTATAGCTAAAACCAAATAGTTTTCTGTATTCAAATATTCATGGAAAATCAGAATTTTTCATGAAAAATTTAGACAAACTTCTCTTCAATTTTCACTGAAATTTTCCATGGAAAAAACCCCTATTTTCCAATCAGTTCTAATTTCTTTCTCAAAGAAGAAAATCTGCTCTGAATTGATTGTCCAACTATTGTCCGAAAGAAGAACAAGAGAGGTTTGATATGGTTTTAATCAGTCGCAACTTCTGGGCCCAGAGGTCTGAGCCTACCCAGCCAATAAAAGTGTACAGTGCTGGGAAGTCCCACTGACTCTGCGCTCCACATGGGTGCTTCTGGTTTGAAATGAGTCCCATGCTGGCCCCAGGTTCCATGCTGAGCTTACTCTTTGAAATTCACAAGAGCCCCCATTGGAGTCCCCAGCTGATCCTGGGCTCCACACTGCACTGCTGCTTTGAAATGCTGTGAGGAGCCTGATGCTAGGCTCCCCATGGCATTCAAAGCAGCAGCGCCACCCGGAGCAGCTGACTCTGGGCTCCGTGAAGTGCTGCTGCTTTTAAGTACCCCCCCTCCACTACCTCTATCTGATACAGGCAGCAAGAGGGGGGGGGGGGGGCGCAACTAGTCATTCAATGACCACCCAATAGACTTCTGCCAGCTCTCCCTCTTTTTCCATCTAGGTCCCCCAGCCAATGTATTCCTAGGACATTACCACCCACACCCCTCCCTGACAGGAGAGTTAAGGTGGGCTATAAGAAGGAAGGATTGGCTCCTTGCCATACCATTCATAGAATCCCCCCCACCCTTTCTGTTCCTTTAACAAAGACCACCTTTTAAAATCCTTTACCAAATCATTTATCTGATCACCATATCCCTTTCTCATGGAGGACCTGCAATGGACAACTGCCACAAAGGGGCACCAACAGTTTGCTTAGTTTCCTCCTTCCCAAATGCAGTCAAGTTCCCAGACAACTCCCAATGCCCTCTTTTCAGAATGTTGTTTTGAAAAGTGACCACGTAAGAATAACTTGTTACTCAGCAACTCTTGTCGGTATTCAGCTACTTTGCTCCCTGGTCTAGCACCTTCAGGACTTGACCATTCAGACATGAGGGATTTGGCCATCCCACTGTGGTTCTGCATTTTAACTGTAGTAAAAGCCGGGCGGGCAGGTAGCCCAGCTCTTACTACATTTAAACTGCAGAGCCACAGCAGGGGTAGGTTCTGGACCTGGCACGAGCTGGAAATGAGCACTTCTTCCCTTATCGACTAATCGTGGAGTCGATAAAAATTCTAACAAGAAGCAATTCTAACAAGAACAAGAAGCGATGGGCTTAAACTGCAGCAAGGGAGGTTTAGGTTGGACATTAGGAAAAAGTTCCTAACTGTCATAGTAGTCAACACTGGAATCAATTGCCCAGGGAGGTTGTGGAATCCCCATCTCCGGAGATATTTAAGAGTAGGTTAGATAAATGTTTATCAGGGATGGTCTAGACAGTATTTGGTCCTGCCATGAGGGCAGGGGACTGGACTCGATGACCTCTTGAGGTCCCTTCCAGTCCTAGTATTCTATGATTCTATGATTAGTGCAATACCCGCTTCTCAACATCCCTACCTCCAGCCCAGCTTCCTGTGGGCTCCTGCCCCGGCGGGCAGCCCCGCTACCACTTACCAGGTCCCTAGCCCCACCAGGGGCTCATGGCTCCACCAGGCAGCCCCACTGCCATGTGCTAGGCTATGGCCCAGCTGCAGTGAGCTGGGAAGCCCAGCCGCAGTGAGCTGGGAAGCCCCGCTGCAGGGACATCCATGGTCTGGACAGTCCCAGTTTACATTGCTTCAGCCTGCAGTTTCTTTAGTGACAAAAATGTTTGCATGGCAGAGCCAATACAGATTCTTAAGATCAAGAGAGCGAGTCTCTCTTCTGGCTCATGCTTCATCAACAGAATTGTTATTTCTATTTTAAGTTAGTCTAATATAACCTCACTTAGGCTATGTCTACACAGCACACTTATTTAGAAATAAGTTATTCTGGAGTAGGTTAGATAAACTGTTATTCCAAAATAGCTTATTTCAAAATAGCACGTCTACTCTGCAGGGGAGCCTCAAAATTAGTCTGAGGCAGGCTTCCGCAATTTAGACGTAGTATATCAGGTTAGAGCCCCAGGAGGCACTGGAGAGGAATAATTAGACGTAGTATATCAGGTCAGAGCCCCAGGAGGCACTGGAGAGGAATAACTTAGAATGGCCCTGGTGAGGGGCTATTTCAAAATAGCAGCAGTGGAGCATCTACACACGCCTTATTTTGAAATAGCTATTTTGGAATAGGCGTTATTTTGGAATAGGCGTTACTCTTTGCAGAATAAGGTTTACAGATTTTGCAATAAGCCGTCTGTTATTTTGAAATTAGTTTGAAATAACGGAATGGCTGTGTAGATGCTCGCATTATTTTGAAATAACACTAGTTATATCAAAATAATGGTGCAGTGTAGATGCACCATTAGTACCCACATCCTCAAGTAGAAGGCAGTGTATAGATCTGGCCTTAAATTAGCCTGGATGTAACTATGGGCATAGCTTAAAGGCAATGGCTTTGCCAAGAAATCACTAATACTCCACAAGCAATCCTACAATGACATTTCATCATATCAGCCTTTCTGCATACACCACACTTTAAGGAAGTAAATGGATATCTACAACTTCAAATCCATCTTAGCAAATGTTTTTGCATGGGAATTCGAACTATCATTAGTAGGAATCCAGGTGGAGGTTGCAAAATGGGCACGGGTCTCCCCACAACACCACTAGCCATGGGAAACGGGTGAGAGAGAGAGAGAGAGATAATGTTTCCAGGGGGACAGCTGGCGCCCCTGTCTCCCCCCTAACTCTGTGCATACCTTTCTCCAACTTACTTGACCTTGGGCAAAAGGATCTATCCCTAATCCCTCAAGCTTCTCCTTCTCTCTATCTACCCTCTTTTCACTGTCCTACAGAGTTCTTTGTCTGTAGTCTCTACCTCCTGCAGAGAAACATTAGGCCCATGAAAAGTTTATAAACTCTAGGGAAGCAGTTCTCAAACTTTTTGGGCTCCGGAGCTCTTTACATGCGTAAAAATTTATGCAGAGCCCCAGCGTTCCACTAATTGTATGTGCTGTACTTATGCGGAACCTCAGTGGGCCACTGATTGTATGTGTTCTACCTATCAATGTTTCCAGTTTGTCAACCTCATGGAGCCCCTGGAGATGTCTTGCAGAGTCCTGGGGCTCCGCAGAGCACAGTCTGAGAAACACTGCTCTAGGGCACTGATTGCACTACACCCAGACTACTTCTAATAAATAAGGGTGTGTCTACACTGCCACCCTAGTTCGAAGTAGGGTGGCTAATGTAGGCATTCGAACTTGCAGATGAAGCCAGAGGTTTAAATATCCCAGCAAGAGGGGGGGGGGAGGGCACAACTAGTCATTCAATGACCACCCAATAGACTTCTGCCAGCTCTCCCTCTTTTTCCATCTAGGTCCCCCAGCCAATGTATTCCTAGGACATTACCACCCACACCCCTCCCTGACAGGAGAGTTAAGGTGGGCTATAAGAAGGAAGGATTGGCTCCTTGCCATACCATTCATAGAATCCCCCCCACCCTTTCTGTTCCTTTAACAAAGACCACCTTTTAAAATCCTTTACCAAATCATTTATCTGATCACCATATCCCTTTCTCATGGAGGACCTGCAATGGACAACTGCCACAAAGGGGCACCAACAGTTTGCTTAGTTTCCTCCTTCCCAAATGCAGTCAAGTTCCCAGACAACTCCCAATGCCCTCTTTTCAGAATGTTGTTTTGAAAAGTGACCACGTAAGAATAACTTGTTACTCAGCAACTCTTGTCGGTATTCAGCTACTTTGCTCCCTGGTCTAGCACCTTCAGGACTTGACCATTCAGACATGAGGGATTTGGCCATCCCACTGTGGTTCTGCATTTTAACTGTAGTAAAAGCCGGGCGGGCAGGTAGCCCAGCTCTTACTACATTTAAACTGCAGAGCCACAGCAGGGGTAGGTTCCGGACCTGGCACGAGCTGGAAATGAGCACTTCTTCCCTTATCGACTAATCGTGGAGTCGATAAAAATTCTAACAAGAAGCAATTCTAACAAGAACAAGAAGCGATGGGCTTAAACTGCAGCAAGGGAGGTTTAGGTTGGACATTAGGAAAAAGTTCCTAACTGTCATAGTAGTCAACACTGGAATAAATTGCCCAGGGAGGTTGTGGAATCCCCATCTCCGGAGATATTTAAGAGTAGGTTAGATAAATGTTTATCAGGGATGGTCTAGACAGTATTTGGTCCTGCCATGAGGGCAGGGGACTGGACTCGATGACCTCTTGAGGTCCCTTCCAGTCCTAGTATTCTATGATTCTATGATTAGTGCAATACCCGCTTCTCAACATCCCTACCTCCAGCCCAG